TCATAGCTGTTCAGCCCTGTATATTCATTGACTTGCCTCATTCCTTTTGGTCTGGTAGGGGTCAAGTCTTTGGTTCTTTGATTGCAGGATTTTCAAACTGCCGTTTGCACTCTCTCAGCGATGTCCCAGTTTGGGACCCCAGTCCAGGTGATTTGTTCTTTGGCAGTCTGGCTAGTAGGCGTGAAGGGGTAACAACCACACACTGCTTTCTTTCCAGCATCTTCTGGTGAGCGTTTCAAGCATGTTTCAATCCTGAGGCCGCTTGTTCTGCCAGGAGCAAAGCTGCTTTGAAGATAGGGATGGTAGCTGCGGGGAAGTAAGACATCTTGCTTGATGTGTTGAATCACACACCAAAGGGTCGTTACACCAGTCAGAGCTTATGAATTCACTGGCGTCAGTCAAGTCTAGCAGTCTGCAGTCACATGGCAATTTGTTAGAGACCACCGGATAGTTTTTTACTGTAGATTCTTTCACTGGTACAGCAGATCTTCATTTGTCCAGTTGCTTGTTGCCTCATGTGTGAGGTGCGAGATGGCTTCAGGAGAATTTTCACGAACAGGTGCCACCTGCCAGCGCCCAGTGTTTTTTTTGAACGTGTGCCAGCTAGAGTGTAAGAAGGAAGAGAACCCTAAGCTAGCAAGGCCAAGGCTTCAAGAAAGAAGGTGTTGATGGTGTTAGTCTTTTGGTCCAAACCCTTGAATTTTTTGGAAAGCTCAGTCACACACAAGAGCACTTTTGGCTTGATACCTGTCATGGCCACTAAACGCCGTGCTGAAGATCAGGAGCTACCTCATGCTGCTGATGAGAGACTATCAAAGCAACGTGTGCATGGTGTGTCCAAGCCTGCCCCAAGAACTCCTGAATTCCCGGACCTTCCGCCTACCAGTACCACGCCTCCAGGTCCTGGAAATTGGTTTCTCAGGCCCACGAAGGATGAGAATGGAAATTGGGTGTGGAGGTTTTTCCACCTGACTAGGGAACCTCAAACACCGCCAGAGCTGCTGGGCTTGGCGCCATTGACGCCTGACTCTGAGAGTGCCGACTGAGGGTCATTGTGTCAGCCAAAAAGGTTGGCTGAAATCATTGCTGTGATGGCTTTTTCCATGCTGTCCATGTTCCACTTTTGGTTGTTCCATGTTCCAGTACATACATATATACCTTATATAAATATTTTGCGCTTATGGATTTCATGGACCTCTGATGCGTGGGAGTCTTGTGGATAGTGCCGTCACGTCACACAGCTGCCTAGTTTGAAAGGGATGCAGACTTGCTGTCCAGTTCAATCTGACATGCCACAGTGTTTCCCTTACAGTAGTACTTCTGGCAGGAAATTGTGTGTATCAAAACGACTTTCTGCTTTGCCAGGTGCCTTTCACCTCCTGTGTTTGCAGGCTCGCTTCTGCTTCTACAAGTGTGGTTGAGTCAATTCTTGAGACGTCTCCTTTGGTGGAAGTAAAGACTTCAAGTCAAAGAGAACAATGAGGCTTGAGGGGTGAACAGTGTACTGCAACCAAGCGTTTGTTAGGTCTTGTTGTATATTTGATCTAGTTTTGGAGCACTGTGACTGGCTTTGTGATAGGGAAGGCCCATGTTGAGCATGTGTTTCCCTTGTTGGGCAATGGTGTGTGTTTTAGAGTGCGTGAGATTTCATGTTCAACGCTTCAGGTGGTACCCAGGACGCAGGACAGGATCTTCACAGACTTCTGGCCCGGGTCTCAAATAAGTTGTACCAGAATGCTGGCATCTTAGTTTTTTTGTGGGACTATATGTAAGAGGCACCAACATTCCAGCTGGGTTGGGGTTCTGTTTTGAGTGAAGCGCCCAAGAAAAAATCAAAACAATGGCCCCCAAAACGGAGCCCCAAACAAAACTCAACTTTATCAGCTAGAGGTCAGCTGAATTTTCTGCAGTCCAACTTGGCTTCAAGTCTGTGTTGAAGCTTATTTGTGGAAAGAGTGAGTTGGGGGCAGCATGGAGTTGCCAATGGATGATGATTGTGAAGGCTTCCTGACTGGGCCGGGTCCAAAAAGAACCAGAAAGATCAAGCGTGCTAATCCAGTCAAGGCAGCTGTGGATAGGGGATTGCCCCAGCCTGTGAACCTCCAATCAAGATCTTGCAGGAAGAAGGCCAGGAGGCCACAAGATGGCAACAAGTCTCAATCAGAAGCTTCTGATGTGATTTTGCCGGGTGATGACATCGGGTTGGAAGAGCTGATGACAGACGTTTGCTGCTGCTTTGTTGGCAAGAAGCAGCGTGGGGCTCACCCAGCTGTTCTGCTTGTCAACCCTTCTCCTCCGCTGGTTGGGCGCAAAGAGGCTTTGATGGAGTTCTTCTCTCCTCCTCGATTTGTCCCAGTCTGTGTGGCAAATGGACTGCCGGCATCTTTGTCATGGGACCTAGAATTTGGTTGGGATGCAAATCTGCAGAGAGACAGAGATAGGGCATGGAAAGCTTTGGATGAGCAGGACCCGCTTCTGACCACGATGAGTCCTGAATGCACAATGTTTTCTATTTTGCAAACCAATGTGAACATTGCCAAGATGAACCCTGAAGTGGTTGAACGTCGCGTGAAGGTGGCCATTGAGCACATGAAGTATTGTGCTGAGATTGCCCGGAGCCGGAGTGCAAAGGGTCGCAAGTTCCTGCTGGAACACCCCTCTGGCGCGTCTTCCTGGAAGCTACCATGCATCCAGGCACTCTGCAGGGAACTTCCCAACTGCAGGATTGCTCACTTTGCACAATGCAGGTATGGTCTGAAGTCACCTGCAGGCAAGCCAATTCAGAAACTGACCAAGTTCTTGACAAATTGCGACAGCATCTTCCACGAGTTCAATGGAAAGGGCTGTCAGTGCGAGGAGGAGCACCAGGTCATTCAAGGGTCTGTTGATGGCATCAAGCTTTCCAAATGGGCCCAGGTGTATCCAAAGCCCCTTGTGCAGGCTGTTGTAGATTGCTGCCGTCAAGAGGTTGCAGCCTCCTAGATGCAGCGGCTCTAGGGAATTTGAGCCATGTTGAGGCTAGCGCTTGTTCTGGTGATTCAGCAGCTGGTGGGAAAAGACATTGTTTGTGCTCAGCTGCAGGTTTGTTTTAGATGTTGAAATGTTGAATGTAGTGCAGACCAATTGCCACTCCGGCTTGAAGATTTTATACGAGTCAGGTGCTTCAAATTTTAGCGGCGTGAGTGAGAGAATGGAATATTATGCAAGATTCTTTTCATGAGCTATATGATTTTGAACGGACGCTGCATTTTCGACGGATGAACAATTTTCGACGGATGCGTTTTTCCACGGACTCAGGAATTTCAGCGGATCATGGAAGCCAGACTTCCTGGTTGGGCCAGGCAGGCAGGGTGAATCCAGGAGAACTCTGGTGCATAATTTTTGTCTCTGAACATCGGCTGGATAAAATTTTATCCTTTGAGGAAATCATAGTGGAACATTGGAATGAGCAGATATGCACCATCCCATGGGACAAGGGGGTGGTACTGCTGGATCTAGGGTTGTGGAGGGAGACCAGAGGGGATAAAATTTTATTCAACAGATTTTTGGATCGAGGTTTTGTGCTTCCTGATTTCTGCTGGATGCTGACCTGTCAGGTGCTGGGTGTCTTGCTGTCAGGCCCCTGGTGTACAGGCTATCCGTCGAAAATTTTCAATCCGGCGGTTTTTGGTAATCCGTCGATTTTTCTCCAACCGGCGATTCCCGTTGACTTTTTTGCATCCAGCAATCCCTACCTCCACAGTTCCCTTTAGAAGCTAGATCTTTTAAGCCTGCTTCAGCCTTCAGGATTACAAATCTGTTCTTTAGTGTTCTAGAGACCTGGCCTGGAACGGACAGCCTGAGAAGAACCAATGCCTTCATGATCAAGTGTTGATGAGGTGGGCTGAGAAGAATAATGCCAGGAGTGCTGTGGGTGCCTTGTTCTCAGACTGCGCGAGAATAGGTTGAGCTCTTCTATATCCTAGGCTCTAGAGCATGTGGGCTGTAAAAACGATATAGTCAATCAATGGGCCTTGGAAGTTGAAACCCTTGTTGAACACAAGAATGACCACAGAGTGGTTTGGAATCAAGTCCTGTATGGAGTTTTTACTTGCCTAGAAAGTCTTCGCCACAACAGCAACAACAACAACGGCAACAATTGCCACATCAACAGAAACAACAGCTGCAACAGCAACAAAAGAGAAGAAGAAGAAGAAGAACAATAGGAACAAGAACGACAACCAAACAACCAACAACAGCAACAAACAACAAGAGCAACAACAACACCAACATCAGTCACTATAACACAAGGGTTGATTCTCCACACGATGTGAGGCCAGAAGACAGCATCCTGCTGTGATGTTCCGAGGAGGCCTTTTTGTTCATTCTCTTTGGCAGACAGTCTAGCAAAGAGCTTCAGACTCCTTTTGGTAGGGTGTTCTTTTCTGATAAAGCTGCCAACGCTGTGTTTGTTGCAATGGCAAGTGTTTTTAGTTTACCCAGCTGTCCACACTGCTTCACATTGTTGAAATCAACAGTTTTGGCTTTTGTGGCTTTGAATCTCAAGCATTGGCCTTGCGTACACTGTACGTGGGATAGTGGATTTAACAGCTCACACCAACGTTGACAGCATGAGTGCCAGCAAACAAGAGCCAGGGACTCAGAAGGAGGAGGCGGAGGAGACCCTAGCTGGATTGATGCCGCCAACGGAAGTTGGTGGGGCTGCTGCACCAGGCGCCCCCAAGTCCACAGCAGCTGACAGTGCAATGCAGTTCGAGGTGGCAATCATGCCAGATGAGAGCCAGACTGGCGTTGATGCTTTCAAACACGGTGTCTTGAAATCTCTGACAAAAGTGTTGGACAAATGTGGCAACGTGAGCAATTTCCTTCAGCGGAGGCACCAGTGTGATAAGGAGCGCCAAGATTTTGCCAATAGCCTTCATCATCTTTGCAGAGCAGGCCTACCTGACTGGGATGTTGAGGAAGGCAAGCTGCCATCATCAAAGGTGGAAGCGGTGCAGATGAGCAACTGTCTCAAACTGCCTGTGGCAGCCTTTGCTTTTGATCCACACTGTGCTGTGCGATCCCCACCTGACAACTGGCACATCTTGGAGCTTGCTGAATCCATTCTGAATGAAGGGTTCATCACCACCACCGATCCAATCATGGGGATGCAGAGCGCGGAAGTACTTCAAGGTGCAAGCCTTGCTCATGTCCAGCCCCCTTGGTCTGGGAATTTGCTGCCTTTTTCAGTAGGCTTTTCCAAAGGCCGAGCTCGAATTCACACGTTGCTGGCAATCTTGAGGGTGGCTTTTGATAACAAGCTCGACATTGAACAGGCAGGGTTGTAGAAGTTCAGGTGTAACTTGTAACCCCTGTTGAACAAGTATCCATTGTTTTGTCAAATGAGCAAGATCTTTTTCTACCCAGCAGGGATGGTTGTAGAAACACCAGTGATGGTGTACTGTATCCATTATTGCAATCAGCAAAGTTTTTTACTTGTGTGCAGCAGGTTCACCCTGTGCTGGCAGAGTCGGTGGTGAGTATCAACACCCACATCTTAGAGCATGCCTCCAAGCAGCAGGAGTTGATCTACAATTTCAAGCTGTCCAATCGTGGATCACTGCGGAGGCCACCGTCCATCATGGAATGGGTCCAGAGCATTAAACAACTTCGCGGGCAAGGTGCTGATGTTGACCTGCAGGCAATCATCAAGAAGTTCAACCACGGCACGATCAAACCATTGCAATTGGGTGGAGCCAAAGCTGTTGCTGTCAGGAACCTTCTGGAAACAATGCCTGCCTCAGCCTTGAATGTCATTGAGGCCCATGTCCAGAAGCTTGGGTGGCAGAACAGCTGCTTCTCAGATGATTGCTTGAGCAGCAAGCGGGTGTTGCCAACCTACAATTTCCGTCACCAAGCTGGTGGATTGTGGTCCAAGCTTGGCAAGATGGGCGAGGAAGCCACTTTGTGCCTTTTCAAGCATGTGACAGTTGCCTATGAGACAACCCCTCCAGCCGCCCGGAAATCTTTCAGCAAGGCGGAATTGGATGAGAAAGCTGAGGAAGCAGCTTTTGTGGTGAATTGTGCAAGTTTGGCCTTGAATGAGGCGCCGGTCAATTACGCTGAGCTGTACGAGAAGTTTGTAGGACCATACAGCGAGAGTGACCCCAGCGTTCTCTTGGAAGTTCAATGTGCACTTGGGCAGAAGGACCCAGCTTTTGCTTTGCGGTCTTTGAAGCCTTTGAAAGACGCGCCATGGGCTCAGCGCTCAAGTGACAAGTGTATAGAACAAAGCAACAGAAAGCTTACAAGTATGTCTAGGACATGTGTGAGGCTACCAGACTAGAATCATCCCTGCAACCAAACCTTTTTGATTTTTTGTTGTTTGTTTCATTGAGGCTGGATGCCCATGCCACCAGCCGACCACTTGGGGATGACCCATCACAAAGTGTGCATTTATCCAACTTGGAAGCAGACGCCTACGAGCTTCTGCAGCGAAGAATTGAGTATGATTTGAAATGCTTCAGGGTCTACAAGTCCAAATTGGAGAGCCATGAGACCGCACAGTTTCATGCTGAGTTGAACCATCGGAAAGGAGCCTATGATGCTTCTCTCTCAGCAGCAAAGAAACTGATGGCTTCCAACGTCAAGGTGATCAGCTCTCCAAATTTGCACACCGTCCTCCAAGAGTACAATGACTTTGTGGGCCAGTTTTGCAAGATGTTTGGCTTGGCAAAAGAATCGCTGGTCACCGACTTAGCTTTGGTTGCTTTTCAACGCAAGTAACAATCAATCTATTGAATGTGGTGGTGTTCAGTGATCGTATATATATATATACAAATCTGTATACACATATATGTTTGTGGTTTTCTAGCCAAGTTCAAGGTCATCATTTCCATCTTGAACTGGAGTGCTTTATGCCGGGTGAACAACGACCGGCAGCAGCTTCAATCCCGTGCAGTGGCGGTCATTACCAATTCTGATGGTGGATCACAGCAAGTTGGAATTGTGCTACTTCCTCAATTTGGCTATCAAAGAGGACAGCTGTGGATGCAAGAGCATCACTGTCTCAAGGCACTAAGCTCGGCAGGGCTGCACGTGGACCGAACATTTACACTGCCGTTTTCAGCCAGGGTTGATCAGAGAGACAATCGTCCTTTGATGTACCATGGGCGGATTGTGTCTTCTTTGGGCCTCTCAGAGAAAGATTGGGCCCTGAAGAACTCAGAGCTTGTCCGGAATCAACGCTGTGAGCCTGCAGAGCAGCTGCCTGCCTCCAGCATGGTCTTCGTTGAAGACTTGCAGCCAGACGCCATGCCATGCACGACCGACTTGGATGGGCTTGTGAGCGGCGCCAAGAAGTACGAGCAAGTGGGCAGTTCTGGCTATGGTCGGATTCTCCAGAGCGCAGTGGCAGGCTTGAATTTGCCACCAAAGGGTGGGATTGTTGTGTTTGACGCATCCTTGTCTGTCGGTGACTGCTTTGATGCATGGATGGATGTCAAAAATGATTGGCAAGTCCCCACTGCTTACGTTGGCCTGCCAGAAGATATGGTTGTGGCTGAATGGTTTCAGAAGACCAGGCAGCAGGCCATTGCTCGGAAGCACATGCATGGAGACCTGTCAATCCCTGGCTGTCCACGAGTCGATCCTGAGCTGCCAGCTGAGCACAAGACGCAGGCCCCTTCACTTCCTCCTTTGAACGTTCTTCAAGCTGTTGGGCCAAACAAGGCATATCCATTGATGCCAGAATCACTGATCAAGGAGCTGGTGGTTTGTTTTTTGATTGTAAGTGTTACTTGCTGTCCTTTGCACCTTCTTAGCTGCTTAATGGATAATTAATTGCCCTTCATGGTGTTGACCTTGAGTTAATTGAGCCAAGAGCTGATTCATCACTGGGAGCTGGAACGGCTCGAGCCACTGACTGTTTGACAGTTTGTTTCTGTGACTGACTTTGTAAACGTGCAAACTGTTTGGAGTCTACAGGTATAATTGGGAAAAGCAATGCGCTAGTTTATTTTTATGTGTCCATATAATATATACATTGCAAATGGGCAGACTTGCTTTCTTGCAGGAGTGGAGCTCTCATGCGGTCTTTGGGGATACCTTCCGGTCCACCTTGGACAAGATCATTGAGGAATTTGGGGAGGCGCCATCAGCTCAAGAGGTGAAGCAGGAAGAATCTGAAGCAGGAAACCCAAAGAAGAGGAAAGGTAGGGATGAGACTCAGGCCACAGTTGCAAAATGCCCCAGGTCAGCTGTGCCTGTGAAGCAGATCCCCATCCAGTCCATTGGGAGCGAGCAAGTCCTGCTGGAGACAGAGTTGGTCAATTGCAAGAACAAGGGGTTGAAATTGCAAATGAAAGCTGGAGGGAAAGTGTATGTCTTGAATATGAGCTCCACTGCCGCCAAGCTCCCGGCGGGTTGGTTTTGGCAGGATTTGGCAAAGGCTCTTACAAGCAGAGAGCTGCTGGGGAGCCTGTGGGAGAGAAGGAGGTTCTCTTCACCCTTCAGCCTGAGACCATGGTTTTGATGGGCAATACCTTGAAGAGTGTGAGGTCTGTGGTGGATGGAAAGCGATCCACGGATCCCCATGCCAAAGTCGCGTACCATGAGATGTCTGAGGCAAGCACGACCGAGGATCCAAGCAAGTTTGATCTGAAGCTGACAACTCGCATTGTCTTTGTCCCCACGGGCCCAGCCAAGGCCAAGGAAGAGGAGGGTGAGGGCTTCAGTGGAGCTCAAGTCTCAGCAGCCCGCATGGTACCTATGGAAGCGTGGGTGAAGGGCAGTTTGGCTTTCCCTGCTTGGTGTGTGCGCTGGGCCCCACAAGGCCTGATGCCGATTCGCCCAGTGATCGTGTTGCTGCAGGAGATCATGCTGGAGCCTGCTCATGGCGTGATGCTTTGAATGTAGCAAGCCAGTCCTGAACGCAGGTAGGGTGGCAGCATTGATTCTAAGGGGTTGAGAATCTGAAGTGCTACCTTGCTAGGCCACACGCCATTTCAATGCAGTTGTTGATGAGCACTGTACAGTTCTAGATCCCTGTGCATGTACCACACCATCCAATGTGCACGCGCAGACCATCATACCGCCATCGATCAGCTCAGAGAACAAGGAAGCTGTTTGTTGGGCAGGGTTGTTTCAGGCTAGCTTCTTGCTGTGTTTTTTTGAAGTAGGGTGTGGAGTGCAAGCTGGACACGTCTCTTGCAAGACTCAGGGCTTTTTGATGACAATCTTACACCCTTTGGCTGCCAGGTGATGTATTTTGGTCTTCATCCAAGGCCTGCCAGTTCCAGCCTGGTGTCTTTCCTACCATGCGCCTAAAACCTAGTCTTTTTTACCGGGCGCCGCAACGAGCCACTTCTCACGCTTCTATGAGATTTGCAACTGTTGAATGCCAACGGGTAGTTGCATGAGATGTCTATCAAAAGCTTCCGTGTCAGTGGATTGACAAGTGGTTTGAGTCTACCTCAAAGATGAACACATCCCAAAAGCAAACACATAGAAGCTACTATCCTCTCTTAACAAGTGTGGGTGGTTCTTTCTTTACACTTATATGGATCATGTTGGCTTCTGCGCAGCTTTCAAACAGGGGTGAAGGCCACAGACCAGCAAACCAATGCCCTGACTCACCGGCGCAAGGCTCCTCATCCTCTGAAGCAAAGTGCCATCGGATAGCCTTGCCAGCTGGGGGGACACGATGTGTAGTGGTGGTGTTTCATGGCCAGAAAATTATGAATTCTTGGAGGTGTTGTTTGCCGTGTCTCTCATATCCAAACAGCGTGTGGTGGTGGAAAGGAGCAACCATTGCTTCTGGTTTCACAATCTGACCCAACCTGTGTCAGCAAGCCTCTGTTGCCCACATGGGTTTCACCATATAACACATATTAAGAGACACGCGTATTTCAATCGGAAATCTACCCATATATTTTTGCACACATTCACATACAACAGATAATTTAGTATCTTTGATATCTTTGCATTGCTTTGGAGGTTTTCTTTGTTTTGTTGTTGTGTCTGTCTTTTTCTTTCTTTCTGTTTGTTTGTTTGTTTGTGTTTGACTTTCCTCTTTATCTTTCTTTCTTTCTTTCTTTCTTCTTGCTTGCTTTGTGTTTGCGCAACTGGTTTCATGGATGGCTTGATTTGAATGATTGATTGGTGGCTTTGTTGGCTGTTTAATTGTTTGGTGGTTTGACTGACTGGTTGCTTTGTTGCTGGATTGGTTGGTTGGCTGTTAGTTGGTTGGTTGAGTGGTGTTTAAGGTGATGGATTTGACTGATTGCTTGGTTGCTGGATTGGTTGGTTGCCTGGCTGTTTTTGATTTTCATGGATGGGTGGGTGAATGGGTGGATGAAGACCTGCATGAGGGGTTGAATGTTTGATTGCTGGTTTGCTGGATTGATTCTGATTGGCTGCTTGCCTGTTTTGTTGTCCATTGCCTTTGATCGGTACCTGCATACCTGACCTACGCTAGCCTACTAGTAGGTAACTGGAATCCTGCACGAGTGCATACATACATGCGTGTTTTCATGAGTGCAAGCACAAAGAAACATATCTATGAACAATATATTCGGATTGCTTTCCAGATGCCAAGCAACAAACATGTGTTTTTTAGCAACTCGTTTCAAGTCATGTTGACTTAATGGCCCAGGAAACCCATGTTTTTGATTGTTTCAACAAATTCTTTCCAAGCCCATTGTGCGCTGACGGAAAAAGGATATTCTTTTTTTCAGCCGCTGTGCCAGGTCATGTGTTTCAAACCGGGCTCCAGTGCCGTTCTACACGAGGTTTTGATTCCCACAGTAAGGGCAGAACAGCCAACAGCTTTGCTGTGGCTTGTCACAAAATCTGCAGAAATCTGCTTGGGAGCCTGTTGACTCTGTGTTTTGCACACATTCCAAGACTGGTGAAATGGCTGTGCTGATTGCCTTCCGCTGTCTTTGCAGAGTTGGAACATCATACGTTGAATCCAGCGTCCGGGCGCTGGTTCCTGTAATGGCTGAAACAATGGACGTTGCGGTTTGGCAGCTCTTCAGAAGAGTCACAGTTGTCTTCTTTAGTGAATGGGCGCCCACCCGGTCTAAGTCCAGGTCACTGCAAGGATGCGGCCTGTTTTCATCTGCAGCTTGTTTTTTCTCTTTTGCAATGGCTTTGCAAGCTTCAGCGATTTTTTCTGCATAGCTTCGTTCTGTAATTGCAGAGGTCCAATTTCTCACATTTTTCCCTCCATACACACGGCCTGGGAAAAGCAATGTGTCTTCTGCACTTTCAAAGGAAGCTTGCAAATCTTGCCCTTTCCATGGCCACTGTGAATTCCCAGGCCCTCTCAAGGGTTCTTTGGTCACCCATGTCCAGATCAGTTCTGCCAAAGATTTTTCCAATGGCACAATGCGTTCTTGGGTCTTCAAATTCACAGCTGGGATGCTGCAAGTTGGGCTTCCTGTGGACGTAGGGTTCAAATTGTTGAACCATTTGGAGGACGCCTGGCGTGTGCAGTCAGCGCGTTCCCCAAACAAAGTTGAAGAAGCCACATCACCGCCGCCCAAGGTGATCTGCTGTCATGGACCAGCGCCCAAAATACACAGGCCACTTGCTGTGCTGTCAACGGTTCCCGCCCTCCTCTCTTCTTGGTTGGTGTCACGACCCGACTTTTGGATAGATGACCTTGACAGCAGAATCTCACCAGTTTGCAATGTGATCTCAGTGGCCGGCAAAGGCTCCGGTCCACATCTTTCAATGGCAATTGGAATGGTCGGTTTTTCACATCTGCACCACTTTTGCATCCTTTCCAGCAACACTTGATCTTGACCTTGCTGTGCTTCGCACGGCCTGGTCCTCGCTTGGGCTTTTTCAAGGAGGATTTTGCCATGGGTGAAGCTGTAAACGAATGCAACAAAACAAGAGTTTGCATGTGCATGTTTGTATCTAAAATGTAGCGTTTTGTGTTGAAA